CTCTTTTACACCACAGTCTTTGATAGTGAAGTTTTTTGTGGTGGTTGTTTTGTTAAAGACAGTTTGAAAGTGGGATTTATGGGCAGAACATCAAAACCAGCTCCAAATTTGCCATTTTTAGCCCCACCCGTTTATAATTACTTTTTATGGTGAAAGTGTTCCCTCTAACCTGTTTTCTATGCACACTCCTGCGTTACAGCTTCAGTGTTAGCAGCCAGTTAGGACAACAGGCCGCTCTCAAGTTGGCACATATTGTCCATCAGGTAACAGGCTTCGGCGTATTACTCTACTCAGGGTTTTCAGCTTTTCACGGGAATTCAGTTATGGGCTTATAGTGTTTTTTCATAATGCACTATAAAGATGGGCAGCTAATCAAAGGACATGATTATGCATTTTTTAAAATAAATGTCCTTTCAAAGGCCTGGTTCACAACTTGGACTGAACATCTCGGCTGCTTCAGCCTCTAAGTGCCCTGGCCCCGCGTCTCTTCTTACTCGTGCCAGGTGTAAAGAACTGTCAGGGCACCTCCGCCTCAGGCTGCCGCGGGTCGGCCATCCCTGCATCACCCTCACTCGCCCCAGAGTCCTGCAGTTCCCAGGACCGGTGCCCTCTGGGTTCGTCCTAGAACCTTGCTTCTCCATTTGGCCGAATGTTGGAATTTCCAGCAACTTAAAAGTGCTGCCTCGGATCCTGCCCTCAAAAATCCTGACTCTGTTGGCCTGGATTCAGCGTGGACACCGGGAGTTTTTAAAGCCCCCCACGATTTTAATCATGTGACCCTGAGCGAGCGGAAAGTCCCGCCTTTAAAGTGACGTTTCCTCCAGAGCCGGCTGTTGGGTAGTTAGTTACTCTGTCGGGCCAGGGAGTCAGGTTTAAACTGACATTCAGGGTAGACTTCTAAAGAGAAACAGGCAAAAACGGAAAGCGGAATAAATGAGCAAACAAAGTGTCTGTGTGTGTGGCAAAGGTCTGTGTATGTGCAGTGTCAGCGATGCCCCGTCAGCTTCTCTTAAGCTGAAATTATGGAATAATGTGGCATAGAGAAGGCATGCAGTTTTCCATTGCTTTTTAGAGATAGAAGAGGAGGGAGGGAGGGAAGAGAGAGAGAGAGACATCCATGTGAAAGAGACACATCGATTGGCTGTCTCCCCTGCCCACCCCGATCGGGGTCAGGGAATAAATGAACCTGCAACCCAGGTACATGCTCATGATAGGGAATCGAACCCGAGACCCTTCAGTGCTCAGGCCAGTGCTCTAATCACTGAGCAACANGTTTCCATTGCTTTTTAGAGATAGAAGGGAAAGAGGAGGGAGGGAGGGAAGAGAGAGACATCCATGTGAAAGAGACACATCGATTGGCTGTCTCCCCCGCCCACCCCGATTGGGGTCAGGGAATAAATGAACCTGCAACCCAGGTACATGCTCATGACAGGGAGTCGAACCCAAGACCCTTCAGTGCTCAGGCCAGTGCTCTAATTACTGAGCAACACAACCAGGGCTTTTTTTAAATTTATTTTAAATCTAGATACTTTGAACTACTTAGATATAGATGTATAAAAANACAGCCAGGGCTTTTTTAAAATTTATTTTAAATCTAGATACTTTGAACTACTTAGATATAGATGTATAAAAACATTTGGCCAAATTTTAATATTAAAATGGTTATACTTTTTCATATTTATTATGTAACTGTGTGCCTCGCATGATGCAGCTTATAGCGCTACGTTTATAGCAGTTTATTGACCCTGACTCTGAGATGTGGACATTGGAACTTGTGAGGTTNTGCATTGATGCAGCTTATAGCGCTACGTTTATAGCAGTTTGTTGACCCTGACTCTGAGATGTGGACATTGGAACTTGTGAGGTTCTGTAATTGCCCAAGTGCACATAATTAATGAAGTAGTAGAGCAGGAAAGTTGGCATTGCTCAGCCGGTCTCCAAANCGCATGATGCAGCTTATAGCGCTACGTTTATAGCAGTTTATTGACCCTGACTCTGAGATGTGGACATTGGAACTTGTGAGGTTCTGTAATTGCCCAAGTGCACATAATTAATGAAGTAGTAGAGCAGGAAAGTTGGCATTGCTCAGCCGGTCTCCAAAGCTGGCTTCCCTGAACACAATACCCCGTCGTGGCTCTGAGATAACTGGGCATGCCTCTGAAAGTTTGGAACCAACGACAGAGAACACATACATATGTATGCACAGATATATATATTAATATTGTGTGTGTAGGAATGGGCATGCGTGCATTCTTAGCTCTGTCCGTGGGGCTGGAGCAGTGATTTCCCAGCAGTGATAAGCGTACTCAGCACCCAGATCTTGATCCTAATGCCGTTCTTTACTAATAGTAAGTAGAACCTGGAGAAATGGCTGATTTCAGGACGAAGTGGGGGAAAGTACAAGATGAACCTGGACCATCTCGAGCCAGAAGCAGTGAGGTGCTCAGAGCATGATGGGTCATGTCGAAAGGAAACGGGAGCCAGAGGGACGGGGCCCCCACTGGACAGAGCTGGGCCAAACTGAGCATCACANAACGGGAGCCAGAGGGACAGGGCCCCCACTGGACAGAGCTGGGCCAAACTGAGCATCACAATAACTAACAATGCTAATGGACTAGTGCCATTAATATCCCCTGAACAATGCCCATTGAACAATGTAGCTACTCATGATACATACCAGTATAAATTCACCAAACGAATCAAGTAAAAGTTTGATGACATACAGAATAGTACATAGTTTCAAAGCAGCTTCACACAAAATTCTTACTAAAGAAAAGGGAAAAAGAATACATTTATCACGGAGAAGCCCTCCGGATACGGCTCTAATCAAATGATCAAAGCGAAAGTTGTCAGTAAAGAGAGAGGTAAAAAATTACCATCTGACAGGACGCAGTGAGGGGACCACAGCCAACCCCTGTGATATTCCTGCCAAAGACGTCCACTCTGAGTCGAATCGTGTTACCACACGGCTCTCCTGTTACTCTCACAAGCACCAAGGTCATGAAGGTCGGGAGAGACTGAAGTCGTCCAGAGTGAAGGAGAACCGAGGGACGTGGCAGCCAATGGCGACACGTCCGCTGAGCTGGAACCTTTGGCTAAAAAGCGCATTTCAGCAAAAGGACTTGTGCTGAAATGTGATGCGCTGTGGGTGAGCGGGTGACGCACAGCTGCTCGCTTCCCGTGTCGGGATGGCCCAGGGTGTGTCCTCTGCGGTGAGCATGAAGCAATGTCTTGGAGGGCAACGGGTCCTCGGGGCGCCGACTTGTTCTCACGTGGTTCAGGGGGAGGGTTCTTTATCCTGTACTTGCAACGTTGCTGTTAGTTCAAGATTATTTGAAAGGAAGCAAAGAGAGTTTCAGCGCTTTCTGAGAGTCTGACATTAAGCCACAGGGAACGCACGGTGGGGAAATGGTCAGTGAGTGTCATTAGGCCCATTTTCCAGAGGAGTGTTTGTTCTCCAACAGTGGCAGGCGATGTGTTAAGGTGGATTGTCCTAAACTGTAATCTACCGAAGTTACTCCTGGATAGCTGGCCTCACGTCTTTCACGATGGTACGTGAACCGTAGAAATAAACAATTTAGGACACACACATTCACGTAGAAGGAAAAAACCCTCACCGTGTTTTCTTAAAAAATGAACTCCCTGTTCCTAACAACAGTCACTGTTCATGCATCACAAAATACCTCAAATCGTGTATCGTTAGTATAGAAATAATAGATGTTATCTTTAAAAATGGTGTTGTTCTCTTAATTGAAAAATGTTGTTCTGGCATTTTTAAAGTTATTGTGGCTATGTCCTTACTAACGTATCCCTCATCCCAAGATAGAATCTATTTACAGCCTTCTGCTTACACGGTCCTGAGGTCCTGAAAGGGAGTTTAGATGTGATATTGGATTGATCTTGAAGCCCCAAGTGCTTTTGCGATGGAGCCAGGAGCCGGGAGCCAGCTCATAGCTGTGGCTGGTGTCCTGTTTCGCATTTCAAAACTCAGCACAGCAACCCGGGCTTCTTCCTAAAAGGTCCTTAAAATAGGTCAGGATCTCAGGGCCCCAGGGCCGCTGCAGATGATTGAAAATCCTGTTGGAGAATCAGGGTGGAGCATGTACCCGTTTTGAAACGAGGGTTTCTCCGCCTTGGCGTTAGTGCCACTTTGCGCTGGACAGTTCTCTGTGGTGAGGGGCTGTCACTGTCAGATGCTTAACAGCATCCCTACATGCTGGGCGAGTCGCGTCCCACAAAAAGAAATGGCCAAGTCCTGACGCTTGTATCTGTGAAAGTGGCCGTGCTTGAGAGTCGGGTCTTTGCAGACGCCACCAAGGTAAAATGAGGTTGCACTGGATTAGGACAGGCCCTCAGCCCACGACTGAGGTTTCTGTGACAGAGGAGAGGGAGCGAGAGGGAGATCTGGACACAGGACGCAGACGCCCAGCGAAGGTGACCATGTGAGGTCGGAGGCAATCGATGCGGGTGGTGCAGCTACGCCATCTCCCCTGCAGAGGGATAAAAACCAATCTTTCACCTCTGGAACCACCATTAGATGCTGGCATTTTTGCCACGACCGGTGAACGATGCCCCGTGGAAAATCTCCAGCGGTGACTAAGCAACGGAGAATCTGATGACTTGAGGGGTGTGCGTGGGGTCTTGGCACCATCGCTCAGGATTCCACAGCTCCCGTCACCCTCCCTTCTCTCTCCGTGAGATGCAACCCCAAGTGACAAGCCGGCGGGGGATTCGGGCGCAGAATTCCTGCCTCTGCATTTTGTTTATCTGTCTGTGACTCAGCACAGTCCTCTGGGGAAGTTTTTAAACCACGCCTGCCCGCGTTACCTGCCAACTTCCCTCAAATGCCAGCGTCTGCTGCATCAGCCTCCTGCCAAGCGAAAGCAACCGGTTTACATTCTCACTGTTTCGATGAAAAAAAACACCTCGGCTAAACAAAGAACTTCCCGCTTTCACTCGTCTAACACCCTCTGCAGACGGGCCTGCTTTTTGCACTCGGGATGTTTGTACATGATGTTCCCAAAGCAAAAACCACAGCAGCTGTGCCCGTTCTCCCGCACGTGGGGCTTGTTCGGTGGCATCGGAGCCTGATCGACACGAAAGCTTTAGGGGAAACAGGAGGTTAGGATGCAGGTGCAGCTGGTTTATAGGTGTCTGATTGTTTTTACTGTCAGCAGCGGGCGGTGGTCACAGCAGCGAGTGTGCCCTGGAACGACCCAAACCCCCCTACTCTCAGAGCTTGGCTTTTCCCTTCCTATGTTCCTTCAGCTTCTGCTCGCTCTGTTTTGCCCAGCCCGAGCCTAGATCCCTCGCTCTAACTCAGGACCTAGGCGAGGCCTTCCGTCCAGGGCCCGGTGAAAACAGCCGCAGCCTCAGAGCTCACCCCTCGGCATTCGCTCCCTCTCGGCCCCACCTCCAGAGCCCCTCCAAGGTGCAGGCCAGGCCTCATGCTCTGTAGCTCACACGCCAACTTGTGCGAAACTCGCGGGCTGGCTGCGGTCAATGCCATGGGCGAGGGCTGGGCGAGAATCCTCGCGACGATCAGTCACACACTGGGGCTGAGCTGACACTACTGTGGGTCACACAGCCCGCCCGGGCCCGAGCTCGCTCCCCATGCCCCCCCCCAGCATCAAGCCGTGGTGGCTGCTGTATGTAGTCACTTACTTAAGTGAAATAACAGAATGACAGCATCTTTTTCCAGCTTCTGTCACTCTCTTATTGTTGCTGTTAGGGTGACTAATGGTAATAATAATAATACATGACATCAGCTGGGCCAGGGGTCGAGTGGGTGACAACCTGCGTCCTGGTCTGCGTAAGCCGGGCCGAGAAAGACCCCCGCAAGGAGGCAGAGACGGCAGAGCTTGTGCTGTGGAAGCTTCGTGGCACCGAAGCTGTAGTAGAACAAACAGCCCCTCCCTGCCTCCCTTCCCACCCCGTCTGCCTGAGATACTTTCTCTTTACTGTAACCTCTCAGTGAGCTGTGCCCAAGGAGAAAAAAGAGAATTTTCATTAGGGAAAGGTAGCCTTTTCGTCAGTGAGTGTGTGTGTGTGTGTGTGTGTGTGCACGCGTGTGTTTGAGAGGCCGGGAGGACGAATGAGTATTAAATGTGGTGGAAAGGTTTTGCATTTCTTGTAGCCCGGTGAGGCCCTCGGGGCAGGTTTTCCTATATGGTCACTGGCAGAGGGTACTGCGATTTAGGCATTTAATTCCTGAAAGGGTTATTTTATGGGCAAGTGAGTCCCACCTTCCAGAGCTGCGGTAGAAGCGATGAGGCCTGTGGGTCACACGTGTTGGAGAATCGGGTGTTGCTAGGTTTATATGGGTGTATATATTTATTGAGCAATATTGTAACGGCGGCATGTGAGCTGAGGCGACAGAACCACCACTGACTTTGATAACGTTTTTCATACAAAGAAGGAAAGGAAACAACTGGAAATAACTTTGGAGCGAAGTATAAAAAGGTGAAGCCGAAAAGGCCAGGATTCATTTAAACTGAATGAAGTGTAAGGAATGCAGCCAAACTGGCAATAAGAGACCTTCATTTTTCTTCCCGGGCTTGTTGATAGAGTTGGAGTGGTTTGCGCAGGAGGCAAGGCCGGGGGCCCTCAAGTCAAGGAAACAGTAACCAGCGTAAGAAAAAGTTGCGAGGCGAGTGAGAGGCAGAAAAGCAACATTTGTTTCTCTGATAAAAGTTTTCAAAAGAAGATGCGAGTGACGGGAAAACCGAAGCCAGCTTTGTGGGGGACCCTGCACTGTCACCAGGGAAAGGGAAGGGCAGCGGGCTCCTGTGCGCCCAGCACCCTCCCCGTCCCGGCGCCCGGGCGCCTGTTGCCCTTCTTAATGCCCTTTACTGTGGCAACCTGCCCCTCCTTGTTCCCTCACCTCCTCCGTCTCCCCTTGCCTCTCTGTTTTCTGCCACTTTCATCTAACTCCTCAGTGTCTTCCTTTATGTTTTATAAAGAAACTACAAATTGTAGGATAAGAAAGTTTTGTTAAAGCCTCTTGATGTAAATCGATAGAGATCTTTCAGTTAAAAACAACAACAACAACGTAGAAACAATTGGAAATTTGGTCCTAGCAGCTCGGTGTGTTTCCGAGTATCTGTGGCGCTTATAAGACCTAATCGGACCTTCCCGAAACGTCCCCATTCGTGGTGTATCACACGGCAGCTGTTATAAACTGGCTTCCAGATAGTCACCTGACCTTGGTAAGACTAGATAAACCCGTGTTCTTTCTCTCACAGCCTCACCTGTTTCCAATCTACCTGCCCGAGAAGAAATGCTGGCCGGCTTCGCCAACCTCTCCTTGGAGAGCCACAACATATCGCTGACTGGTAAGGTGGCCCGGGCTCTGGCGCGATGCCGAAATAAGCCTGTATTTGTAATGAAGCCGCTGCTTCTTGGCCTGTGGGGAACCAGGCCCCGCTCGTGTCTGGTGGGAGGAACACGCGCACCAGCCCCTAATACAATCACACGGGTGTGCAGTGTGTACGGTACCTTATGCTGGAAGGGTGGGCTCTGGGTTCGGGGGGAGCAGCGAGTCCACACACGGAGGCTGTGGAAGCTCCAGGGGAGGGCGCCTGGGGGAGAAGAGGGTTCCTTCTGATTTCCGTCCGTTCCTGCTGGTGAATCCGTCTGAACTACTCTGCACCGAGAGAATTGCCGGGTCTCCTGGGAGACCGGCAGGCAGGTGACTCCCGGAGCCCGTGACCGTGCTCGAGAGAACCAGGCCGAGGGCTCCGAGCCGAAACTCAGCCCTGCTTTCTCCTCTCTTGGTTTTGGACCCAGCGTTTCCAAAGTAACCTGAGGGTCCTTAGCGTAAGAGGAGTTATCTGCTTGAGCAACGCTATTAAAGGCTTAATTAGCATTTAAAATACTTTAAACCTGTTCCTTCAGTCCATGACAGGTTTTACCAATTATATGACCATCGTTAACTATCCCCTCGCCTGAAGAACTTTCTGTATTTCTGTTTAACGTGAGTAGGAGGTGTGCCTTTTCCTCCCCAGCCTGATCCCCGAGGGCTGTGTGCACCGAGCTTTTCCGGGGAACATTTTTATGACACTGCAGCTTGTTTGTCCCCAAATACCCCTATGCCAATGTTTAGAATCTATTCCTACTTGGAGAAAGTAACAGAACACTCCTGGGTTACTTGCTTTTGTGTTTTTTTGCATGTTCCGGCGGTTGGTTCCCTCCGTTAGGATGAAATGTTTAAGACAATTCAGGGGAGTAATAGGCTTGCTTCTCCTCTGACCACCCGGGACGTTGGCAGAGTCGCGGCCCAGCCCAGCGGCGCCTGGGGGAGGAAGGGTCCTCGGGCCCGAGCAGGCTCGGACTTTTTAGTTGAAGCCTGGCTGGTTATTTTTAACTCCCGGCTACTCTTTTATTCTCCGACTGCTGTTCAAACCAGCATCCCTCCTGCTTCGAAGCGCTCAGGTGTCCCTGGTCGTTGCCTCCTTACCTTCCCCTTGGCCTGACGCACTGGAGTCGGTATCTTTCTCCTCCCCCCAGGCCCTGCCCTCGGGCCTGCCCTGGGGCTGAGCAATAGCTAAGCGAGTGGCCCGGCCCTGCCCAGCCCTGCCATTGGCTTCCACCACTCGCTTGGCCAACTTCCTCTCACAGGTTCCTGCTCGCGGACTTGCCCCCAGAAAGGCCTGTTTGCTTGATCCTGAGACGCAGCTCCAACCTCGGGCGCATCTGCTCTATTGCAACAGACTNTTTGCTTCTCCTCTGACCACCCAGGACGTTGGCAGAGTCTCGGCCCAGCCCAGCGGCGCCTGGGGGAGGAAGGGTCCCCGGGCCCGAGCAGGCTCGGACTTTTTAGTTGAAGCCTGGCTGGTTATTTTTAACTCCCGGCTACTCTTTTATTCTCCGACTGCTGTTCAAACCAGCATCCCTCCTGCTTCGAAGCGCTCAGGTGTCCCTGGTCGTTGCCTCCTTACCTTCCCCTTGGCCTGACGCACTGGAGTCGGTATCTTTCTCCTCCCCCTAGGCCCTGCCCTCGGGCCTGCCCTGGGGCTGAGCAATAGCTAAGCGAGTGGCCCGGCCCTGCCCAGCCCTGCCATCGGCTTCCACCACTCGCTTGGCCAACTTCCTCTCACAGGTTCCTGCTCGCGGACTTGCCCCCAGAAAGGCCTGTTTGCTTGATCCTGAGACGCAGCTCCAACCTCGGGCGCATCTGCTCTATTGCAACAGACTTTTGGAATCAAGTTTCTCTTATTTAAGTCCAATTTGTTTTATTTGACAGAGGAAAAGATTTGGCTCTTTTTTTTTTTTCTTTCTTATGCTGACCCGAGGATATTTTTCCCATTGCTTTTCAGAGAGAGTGGAAGGGAAATAGAGAGGAAGGGAGACAGACAGACAGACAGACATCGATGTGAGAGAGACACATCAGTTGGTTGCCTCCTGCACACACCTTGACCTGGGCTGGGGATTGAGCCTGCAACTGAGGTACATGCCCTTGGCCAGAATCAAACCCAGGACCCTTTAGTCTGGAGGCCGATGCTTAAAATATTTAATATGCTAAGGTGCCGTTATTTTGGGGTTCTTGTAATTCCATCAAAGGCCTATCGTAAGGAGGGTTGGAAACAACTGGGCGCGTTGTTTGGACATTTCAGAGGTGGAATCAACTGAGCTCTGCTGTATGGAATTCAGTGCCCTGGGTCAGGCGAGAGAAGGCCAACGCACCTCCTGGGTACAGTGAGCTTGAAGAACCTGTGGGGTGTCTAGGTTTAGACGCTCGTAGGCACCTGCAGCGATGGGCCTGGGGGATCAAGAAGGAAGTCTGAATGGAGCCAAGAGTTCTGCAAATCAAGGACATTAGAGATAATCACTGAATCCAACGCAGGAGTGTGAACTCGAAGAGGGAAGAGGCCAGAGAGCCAAGTCCCAATGGGCATCAGCATTTTTCGGTAGCTGGGAAAGGTGGGGGGGGCAGCGAATTGTTAGGTCACGAAACGAAGCCAAGTTGTGGAGATTCCAAGGGGTAAGCAGTCTCTGGCCATGCCTGATATTTCCGTGACATCAAGCAGAGCATCCGCTCTGCAAAGAGGTTGTCAGGTTAACCAATCAGGCCACTTTCAACCTCAGAGAAAGCCCTTCCTGTGATGGTGAGAGATACCGGAACAGGCCGCGCTGAAATGAAACGCAGCTGAAGGCGGGGATCCCGTCGTGAAACTGGCTGGCGGGGTGCATGTCTTTGACAGAGAGAGGGGTCTAGGTTTTTAAGGGTACTCCAGGGCTAACGGTGAAGCGAGGGAAATTTACAGAAAACAAGCTCAGGGTCGAATATAGTAAATCTGGGAACACGCCCTCCTGTTTCTATAACGCAGTGTAACCTCTGACGTAGGGCAAGACGCTCAGAAAATATGCTGAAACGTGGAAATCGTTTCAGTTTTACGGACTCGATTTTTCCCCCCCGAGAGTTGACTCTGGTTACAGTCTCGGGTGGTCTGTTCCTCCCTGTTTGAGCGTAAGACTGAATTCGGCAGCTTTGGAATTCACGCGCGGTTCTTTCAGGCACGTGCCCGCCAGGCCATGCCCGCTGGCTCTGCACCTAGCCGCTCGCAGGCTGCGCCCCTGGCCGTGGCTTGAGGAGGCCCGTTTGCAGAGTTCCAGGTAGACCTGAAAGGGACTGCAGGTTAACTCGGCGGAGTTGCTTTTCCTTTCCTGCGCTTCGGCTCTGCGCTCGGCTCTGCCGTTGGTGAGTCCACGCTGCCGGGCAGGATGGAGACGTGTTGGCCCAGGGCCGTCCCCCCCACAGCCCTCCTTCCCCGTCGGCGTGACCACCACCGCTCTCGTCTTTATGGGGCCACGTCCTGGCTTTTCAGAATTGTTTTATTACCCAGGTGTGCACCCCTAGGTGCAACAGCTTAGTTTTACTTTTTTCTTTTTTCTTTTTAAAAAGGCATGTTTTTGAAGTCTCCTATCAGCGTGAGGCTGATTCGTCTCCCTTTTCCAGCTCATCTGTTGGAAGAAGCCAGGCCCTTCCTCTTACCGAGTTTTCTCACAATCTGGGTTGTGCAGCTTCCTTTCGCGGGGTGCAGTTTAACACGTTCCCCCACCCTCTGCATTTCCTACGGCCTGGTAATGGGGTCTGGGGACAGCGTCAGGCCTCCCTGCCCCTTTGCTACCAGGTTACTTCCTAGGTGCCGGGTGCTCCTCAGGCCCCCGCTGGTTCCAGAGCTGACGGGAGCTGTCGATGCCAAATGCCCACACCCAGGGTTCACCGGCCCTGCAGCACCGCGGGCTCCGTTCCTTCGCTTATTTGCCGGAATTATATACAGAGAAAGTTTTCCTTCTGTATTATTTGGTCCGTTTAGGAAGAGCAGTGACCTTGCTCGATTTTTTTTTTTTAATTTTATTTACCACTGTTAAAAAAAAAAAAAGTTGGCTCCATGTATCCTTCCTAAGTGCGATATCTATATCTATGTATCTCTATCTTTATCTCTACATCTAATCTGCATCGATATCAATATATCTACAAATAGCTCTATCGCCTCGTAGCTTTGTCCTGATATTTCAAATTCAGTGAAAATCCAGAACTGCAGGATATGTATTTAAATTGGTCTGACCTGGATCTGTGTCTCCACCCAGTTCCTCCAAGTTCTTAGGGAGTAAGGCGTCCGGGAAGGGCAGAGCCAGTAGATGGCACAGACCCACATTATACCTGAAACCCTGCGATAACTACGAGGGACGTGGCCACCGAAAGGCGACCGGACAGTCCCCCCACCCTCTGCCGCCAGTTCTGCTGGCCCCCGGCCGCCGTGTCTGGGAGCACAGGGCCCGCCCCCGATGGCTCCCTCCCTGCTCTGTCGGGGAGCCCAGTGCACAGTCCTAGGCTTTTGCGGTCCTGCTGATGTTTTCATGAAACTTCTCCCGGCGGTGCCTGTGAGAGAGGGTCGCAGAGGGAACCGAGTCCGCGGGGACGGAGACATCGTTCCTGGAAGGAAGGCACGCGAGCAAACGTCTCAGCGCAGCACGGCTGTGGAGGCTTTAAACTGCTTCAGACGCTGGGTTTCCCCTGAATGTCCCTTTTGTGTGTGTGTCTAACAGGACAGTCCAGTGTCGCCGTAGAGAAAAACATCACTCTGGAAAGGCCTTCGATTGTAGAGCTCACGTGCCTTTTCACGACATCCGGAGACCCGAGCTCGGTGCGTGTGACCTGGAGGAAGGGCGACGAGCTGCTGGAGGGCGACGACCCCGTGAGCACGGCCGGAGGCGCCCTGTGGGCCCGCTACCGGTGAGTGCGCGGCCGGCCGCCGGGCGAAGTCACGAGCTAAATTCTAAATATTTCTGCTCACTGGTGTTCATCCCTTTGTTGCTACTTGAATGTTATTACAAAAAATTTTTTTTTTCTATTTAAAAATTTGGGTTAATGGCTAAGTCTTTTCATTTTCATTCGGAAGTGCTTTGAGAACGAAGCCTAAATTAATAACTTAAATTATCTTCAGGTTCACCATCATTAACAGCCAACAAATGGGAAGTTATTCCTGTTTCTTTCAAGATGAAACGGAACAAAGGGGCACATTTAATTTCAAAGGTCAGTGCTAATAATTTATGGAGTTATAACCCCAGCATTCTCTTCTCAGACTTCGACGCCCCCTGATTTTTAAATTATTGTTATGATACTAAACATAATGCAGCTGAAAGGAAATCGTATGCTTTCTGTTGAATCGTAAGTGGCAACCTTTAAAATAGTGCTTCCTAGGGTAGGATTTGTATTTCCCAGTCCACTCCCACGCGGCCTCCCTGCCCTAGTTTAAAGCACAGGTTTTAGTTAGAAAGACCAGGCTGCCAGGGTATTTGTAAATCAAAGCAGTCTCTTGAATCTATCATCTATCTATCTATCTATCTATCTATCTATCTATCTATCTATCTATCTATCTATCTATCATCTATCATCTACCTCTATCTATCTATCTATCTATCTATCTATCTATCTATCTATCATCTATCTATCATCTATCATCATCTATATCATTTATCTATATCATTTATCTATCCATCCCTCCCTCCCTCTGTCTAAACTCAGAGCCACTAGAATCGCCCTCTGGGTGTCTGAGTTGCTGCCTCCTAGACTGTGAGAATATGTGTCAGTGGCCCCAGGACTTGGAAACTTAAGGCTACATACAATTTAAAAGTACTACGGAGACCGACAAAGGGTGGCCTGCTTTTGATCTCATCAACTGAGGACAACCCCAAAATATAACTCACAGCTCTCCCCGTGAGGACAGACCAATGAAAGTATTTTCCTCTTTCCATCATTAAACCGAAACGTCGGAGGTCTCAACTCACAGGAAAGACTAGTCATTCAGGTTGGACAATTACCGTCATGAGAAGCCCATGTTCAGTGACAGATCGGTGACCGGTGTCCATGCTGGTATTTGGGAAACGCCGTCCGTCGCCACAGGAATTTCCCAGGGCGCAGGAGAAATCCTTCTCAAGCCCGGCCAGTGGCCCTGAGATGTGGACACGGTCCCCAAGGCCCCATCCACGGCGGGAGGGCGGCTCCGCCACGGCCGTGACTTAGGGTGGTTCGCTCCTGCATGCCCCCTGGCCCCCTCTGCTCCCACCGCCTCGTTTCCCTCGTGGGCTCTGTAAATGCTCCTTCTCGGTAAACAGAATGAATCCTGTGTTTATGCAGCTCGGTCTCTGCAAAGGCAGAAACCATCACCCTTGGATTACTCTGATCCTGTACATTCTCTCTTAACCTTCTTTCCTTCGTCTGCCTAATTTAACCTACTGGAGAATAAACTATGCTCGGTTCCTTCCTTGACCCCTGTGCTTCCCTTCCCTTCCCTTCCCTTCCCTTCCCTTCCCTTCCCTTCCCT